TTCGTCCTCTGCAGACCCCTCGCTCTTCGTTCGTGCTAGCCAGACTCCGTTCTACATCCTTGTTTACGTAAATGACCTGGTCTTCGCCACGGCAGACAGGGACGCACTGGCAACAACATACATACAGTATATGCCTCTTGTATTCGGTTTTGTTTTGTTTAAGTTTCCTGCAAGGTGGATGCCCTACATGCCACGTGCTATTTCAGCTAGAGATTGTGATCGTCACTAGGCAACATTTCTGTCAAAGTGTACCAAATCAATCCTTGCTACAGCACGTAAGCATTTGTGCATTCACTTTAAGGCATTCATGTAGTTTCATGTAGTGTTGTAAAATTGCAATTAGTTCCATTCGAGGCTAAAATTGTTTCCTGCTCGTTCCATCCGCCGTATTTATCGATGAGGTGGAAGACAGGAAAGGTATTAGGCTAATGCAATAGTTTTAACACCGGTGATTTGCAAGGTGCCCTAAAATTTTGCTTTTAGAACTAGTGCCCCGAAATGGGACACCAAATGTATAGGGCTGCTACGCAACCGAAAAACTATAACCCAGGACGGCCCGGCATGCGGTCGGGGATGGCATCACCCCTAAACTCGTGGATGCCTGCCTGAGATTAGGGTTGATGCCATCCCCGACGGCATGCAGGTCCCCCCAGGGTTTTAGTTCTTTATGCCCGCGGGTAGATGATGACCCCCCACTCAACATCCGACCCCTCTACATCCAACACCATCGATATTGCGGCTCTGTGCTGTATGGCAAGAGTTGTATGAGCTCTTGACTGGCAAGAGCAGCATGAATGGCAAGAGCCCTGTGAGCTCTTGGATGGCAAGAGCAGCATGAATGACAGGTGCGGCGGACATACCATGATGATAATCCTTCGTTCCATGGGGTTCCGCTGGACGATAATGGACCAGTTGAAGAAACGCCCATGGTACCAAGCAGTGCATCAAGTATGGCACTTGAGGTTATGGGGCATGCTGTAGGAGAACGCTTTCTTCTAGAGTTGGTGCCTAACAATCTCCACACCCTGAAACTGCTAAAGTGGTTTGGTGTGTTGGATTGCCCTTACTTCTTAGCAAAACTCACACATTCACTTCTCCTGCTGAGGGAGCAGAAACGACAGTAGGAATATTCGCGGTTGCCCTATTAGCAGCTCCAAACCTTAAGAGGTTGGTTCTTGTAGCACCGTCTCGTGGACTGCCTTGTGGACAATATAATCTGTAATGGTTGCGTAGGGCAGTGGAATCCTACACTGCGAGTTGCCCATTCCTAGAATCCATTGTCGTGGGATCCAGGGAAGGCGGGTGCAGTGGAAATGCTGAGTGAGGTTGTATGATGTGTGGAGGTGGGTGTCATGCATCCACTTAATCTGCATGGGTATAGGTTTTTTGTCCACTAGATTTTGCTTCTGTTTTCGCTTCTGCATGGTTGGTGCTGATATTATAACTTTGCCATAACCTTTATGCTAGGTAGTAAGATGAAATACATCAACTTGTAGCTGACGGAAATGAAATTGTCTTCCATGGCAGACGCTTGGAAATATGAAATTGTCTTCCATGGCAAATGCTTGGAACGAGTACGGAATGACGTGCAGCTTTAGACCGAGGCAGTTCTCGCCCTGGGCAATTTGGGGAGGCACTTTCTCCCGAGGGCAGTTTCGTCAGAGCCACTTTCTCCTGAGACTGTTTCATTGGAGCCAATTTCGCCAGAAGCAGTTTGTCAAATCCTGTTTTGCCAGAGGCAGAACTGCTCCAGCGCCAAGCTCACCTCACACCATCGAAAGAAGGAAAAATAGCAATATCGTCGCGGTAGATTCCATGGCGACATGGAGTTTAGATTCCGTGGCACAAAAATCGTCTCACTGGGGACAGGAATGCTTGGCATGGGGGTGGGTTACGCCCAGACTGATGTGGAATGCTCCCAGCGTGAGCTGGTCTTCACCCAGCCTTGGGTGGATTTTGCCCAATCTGAAATGGAGTGCGTCCAGCACGAGTCAATTCGGGACGTCTCATTGCTAGCCCAGCACGCATGGTTTCCATGGGAGACGTCCTGCCAGCGCATCTCGTTACCGACCACCTCTCCGCCGAGAGTCATTTTTTGCCTTTTACCATTTTTCAATTCATTGCACAGCGCTGCGATCAGACAGCAGAGCAAGCAAACAAAGATCCAGCTCCCGTGTGACGTAGCAATCTTCATCGAAGCAGGGTCCAAGTTCAGCTGCCATGGCAGATCCGATCAGCAAGCTTCCCAAACCCGTGCTCAATGTGCTTCTCAGAAAGATTGACGATGCTCGCGATGTTGCACGAATGTCATGCGGCTCCAAGCGATGGAGCAAGATACGCCATCTGCTGAAAGACGATGCGATCAGATCGGTTTTTGCAAAAGAGTTTTTAAAACGGTAAAGAAGATCTGGACTCTACATGCTTGACATATTGGCAGGTACGTCATGTCATGCTTCTTGCTCATTATATCGTTGATGCTATGTATGGCAAAAACATATTGGTGTTTTGCATTGTTGTTTGTAGCATTATTCACAATTCGTGTCCTTATGTTTCTCTTCCGATCCACCAGGTTCCGACGCTTATCTTCCCCCCTGACACTTCTCTCTCCGTCGCTGCCGCCATGATTTCGCGCATGGAGAAGCTTGCCAAGCTCGACCTTCCCCTGGATCCTTATTCCCTCTTCGAAGCACCGCCGCCATCGCTGGACAATACACTGGCACGTTTAGCACCGCCCGCTAAGGACCGTATTGCTGCTTTGCTTTCCGTTATAAAGAAGTCCCTGACGAAGTGGACCCCTGCCTTGAAGTCCGTCAAGCATTTCCGCCTGAGCCTGAAGGCACGTTACTGTATGTTCAAGGACAAGGATTTCGAGGGTGTGATGAAGTTAAAGATGTCGCTTTTGGAGTGCCTGGAGCTGAAAGACGTGCCGTTCACACTACACCTCGGTGACTGCTACACTCCCAAACTTCAAGTCCTGCGCGTCCGCCTGCCTAACAGTTGCGACGTTGAGCTGCTCAAATCTTACGCTAAGTGCGCTCGCCTCAGGGATGTGGCTCTACATGAGTTTCAATACAACATCCATTTTGATGTTCTGGGGAAGCTTCTCAAGAAGTGTCCTACTCTGGAACAATTCGTTGTGCAGATGGGTCCTTGCCCCTTTGGCCTTAACATCTGGACGTCACACTACCAGCTTTGCCACGACTCCTTACAGCATCTGACCATGGTCTTCTGTAGCGGTCCCATGGATGACACAAGTGCGTCTGCAATGGATGTTGAGGGATGCTGAACTGGAGTTCAATCCTTTTCCAAAGAAGCTTGAGGAGCTGGTTCTGGAGAAGATGTACTATGATAATGGGGTTTCACTGCACAAAGCCCTGCTGAAGGGTGATGGATCCGGTAATGGATCAGGTGATGGATCAGGTGATGGATCTGGCGATGGATCTGGCGATGGATCTGGCGATGGATCAGGTGACGGATCAGGTGATGGATCCGGTGATGGATCTGGCGATGGATCAGGTGATGAATCAGAAGGTGGATTGGGTGATGAATCAAGTGGTGGATCATGAGAAAAGGAGCATGGGTTTGAATGACCTGTGGATACGAGGGGCATGGACCAGAGGGAACGCCTGTTGATATTATTCCTCTTTCTCAACTGCCAGTCCTAGCGGTAGTGAAATGGTTTGGAGTGCTGACCAAGCCTCTCAAGTTTGCTGACGTCACGCAGTCACTGGTCAACCTGAAGGAGCTGTGGTTCATTCCAGAGGCAACAGCTGGTGCGCAGACTTTCACTCCCCTTGCTGCTCCCAATCTTGAGATGCTGGTTCTGCCGAACAAATACCTCCCCCCGAATACTCAAGGTGCTCGTCTGATTACACCCAAGGAGTTTGATAATGCCCTGCTGCTGTTATCTTCTGAATGGCTTGCTGGTTTTTCATTGACCTGTTTGGATTGCTGCAACCTTCAGTTATCTGAGAAGATTTCAATGGGATGCAGGGTGCAGCTGTGATTATGCGAAGAATGCCTTGTACATAGGCTGCCTGAAGTGAAGGGGGGTTGAATGGTGACGGTTCTTACTGCCTAAAGCCTTCAGAGATAGCCTGTCTTGTAGTATGTAGATATGCCTGGCTAGCTCATAAGGGACCTTGTTTCTTTCTTTGTTCGTCGCCTTGAAAAGTCTCCAAGTTTCACACAAGGGCTCTGCTCAGAGGCATTGAGCCTTCCATCTAGCTTGGAGAAGCTGTCCCATCGTGTTTAAAACACGGTGAACTGCTCACTCCCACAAACCCACAACATAAAATAAGTATGTACAATGCCCTACACTGCTATTAGAGCTTTATCTTGTCTCTATGTTGTGTCCAACTATACTGGGCCATTACTGGCCTCCTTACTAAGTCGAGGGTTTACCTCCCCTCCATGACAGACGAGTTAGCTGTGCAACGGTTTCAGTTTTTCATGCGACTCCACGTCAAAAGCAGCACAATCCATGTCATCTGGTATCTACACTTTTCCTACGTTAAACAAGCTCAGCAATTTCACGCGGTTTGTGCCTGTTTTCCGGAAATTTCAAACCACGGGCAAACGGGACATTAGCCCGGAAAATGCACAGTAACTCCCGGGCAAAATGTTGAACATTTCGGCCTGACTTTGGGGATCAATGCGGTTCAGCTCGGTACCTGGTTGTTGGGACTGAACTTAGGTGGACACGAGCATGCGAGAATTGCAATTAGGACACTATGGGCGACAAGATTAGGCGAGAATTGCCAGTTGGACTGTTCGCTGAGAACCATAACGTAGAACAAGTGTACATCAAGCAGTCGTGGCAGGATCTTTTCCTGCTGACGCGACGCAGTTGGCCAGCACTGCAGAACACAACACCACACCAACCAACAGCTCTTCAGTTCGTTGCCCTCCTCCCTGTGGGGTGGAGGAAGAATTTCATTCCTCCAATCCTGAACTCCTGAATTCCTGAATTCCTGAATTCCTGATTTCTACGTTTCCTTGCTGCCGCTATTCAAGTTTCTCCTCAGACGAGGCAACCTGAAATCTTTCTGCCGGATCCACTCTGCTGACATTGTCAGCAACCTTTCCAGCTGAAAACTGCTTTATTCGGACTTCCTTCCCACGTCCCCCTTGGTTCCATCTCTAGTCGGCCGAGTTCCAAAAGAATTCGGCCAGAATTCTCTGGTAATGCGCGCTGATTTCTCCAGGAGTTCTCTCTCCGATTCCGTAACACTTCCACCGTCAACGGCGGCAATCTGCATTGCGATAAATCCAGTTTTATTTTTCGTGTAGGTAGGAAGTTCCGCCGCTGCTAAAAACTCACGAGGCTCGGCGCAATGTCAGCGAGTGTGAAACTCGCTTCTTCCTTCGTTTCAGGGGCGATCGTGAATTATACTCGTCCTCAATCTCCTCCCGATTCCTACTGCCCGGCATTGCTTCCTTCCCGCTCAACTCACCACTCTTCCATCCGACAGCATCATGTGACATTTCAGCCGTGCCGCGTCACCCGCTCCCGTAGATGCATCCATGACAACTCTGCTTCCCGTCGCTCTCCGTCGCTCCTTCGAGCTGTCGCCCAAGGTTCAGATGGCGCCGGCGACGTCGCACAGGCTCCTAGCGACGTCGCAGAGGTGCTGGGCGGCATGACTGGCGACGAGACGCAGTTCTCCGCGGATACGGGCGCGCGGGTGGTGGCGGTGGTGGGTGCTGACGTGGTGAGCCCGTATGGCGGTGCCATGTGGGAAGACGTGATTCGTCAGATGGTGAGTCAAATGTGTTTCTAACGTGGCGTTCTTTTAGTCTAAGGCGGCTATAGCTTCCAGTCGAAACTACAGCCCACAGGAATTTGGTGAACCACAGCTCATATATTCTAGGAACGAACGAGTAAGTAGGGAGGGAACAAGAGGGTGAGGGACTCTGGTTTCCACTTGTTTCAAAATGAATGCTAGAAGAACAGAACCAGAGACAGCTTGAAGCCGGTATCCAGCTTCGTAAAGCGGACACGTTAGCATTGTAATCGCAATGCTCTGGATGCCGTATTCTCAGTGATGACGTGCGCTTTCTCTATGTTGACGTGTGCATAACTGCCTATTCGCTTGTCTCCCTCTCTGACCATCTTGGCCCACACACACACGATACGAGCATTGGCCATGGCACAGCACCGAAGGGGTTGGGAGCCGTTTTCCCCTTCCCCTCATGATGACGTCATCACATGTGGTGACGTCCTGAGCTGTGCCGACATCAACTGGGGCTGCTACAGTGATCCTTTGGACTGCTCTGGCTGTCGGTTGGGTTGCTACAGTACTCCCTGGGCTGGGCTGAATTCATTGGCAGCACGCGTTGATCAACACTCAGTGCGCCTGTAGCTGCTGATGCCAGACTCCCACGCACACTGCTGGCCCGGATGCTGCATTGGTGTGACAGGCATGAGGGGAGCATCCTGTGTTCCCCTGTGTGCGCTAGCCCGTTTAGAGACTTATCCGCACCTTCATCTTCCCTCATTCCTCCATCCCACTCTCCATTCCCCAGGCGCGCCGAGTCAACTGGGTGGAACCTTCCGTGCAGCTTCTCGTCTTCCCCTCGTCCGCCCTCTCCCCGTCCTCCTCCGCTCACTCCCTCTTCGTCTCTGCCGCCCAGCAAGCCGATCTCCTATTGGCTGTCGCCGTGAACAGTACCGAGTCCGCCGCCCAGCTCGTCCCTTCCTTTTCAGCCGCACCTGCCCGGATGGCCTTTGACAGCCACGTGTCGCTCTCTGAACTCACCTCGCTCGGCGGGCTGAACCCGGAAAACTTAAACCTGCCCCAAAAGCTCGCCGCCAAGTGGGGATGGTGGAAGGAGGGGGGAAAGGCTTTGCAGGTGTGTGCCGTTGTTAGCCTTGCATGCATGCATGGTCACTAACGGGTACTGTAGAGCAGAGGCGTTGATGTGACTGTAACGAGGGTGAGTCCCTGGTGGTGCTGGTGCTTATGGGTGGTGGTTATGCAGCTGTTGTAATTGGTCTACGCCTACAACCTGACATGCCCGCTCTGCGCTATCTGCGTGTGTCTCCCCACTTTCGCTGCTCGCCCCCTCGTACCTTGTCGTCTCTCACCACACCCACTCCCTAGTTCAATCCTGCTGGAAGCGCCGGAGTGCGGACGACATTTGGTTCCGCATCCTAGCGCTCGTCAACGCCTACATTGCTGACGTGCCGGCACTGTGCTGTCGTCCTCCTCTTTCTCCCCCTCCCACCCTGTTCCCCCCCTCTCACTCTGCACTCCCCCTCTCACCCTGTTCCCCCCCTCTCACTCTGCACTCCCCCTCTCACCCTGTTCCTCACCAGACGTACAGCTTAGTGGAGTCGTGCTGGGAGCGTTGGAGTGCAGACGACATCTGGTTCCTCATCCCTGCCTTGGTCAACGCCTACATTGCCGACGTGCCTGCCTGTCCCTCCCCTCTCACCTGCTACCCCCCCCGGACATACTCTTCTGTCGAATCCTGCTGGGAGCGGCGCAGTGCGGACGACATCTGGTTCCTCACCCTTGCCTTGATTCACGCATACATAGCTGACATGTGGGTCTGTCCCTCCCCCTCTCACCCTGCACCCCCGCCAGACTTATAACCTAGTGGAGTCCTGCTGGGAGAGGCGAAGTGCTGACGACATCTGGTTCCTCATCCTCGCCTTGGTCAACGCCTACATTGCTGACGTGCCGGCACTGCGCAACCTGCGGGCGGCAGACTCGTCCTCGCTGCAGTGCATGGCGACGAATTGTGGGCCCATAATCCTCGACTGTCTGCTGGACGAGCAGTGCCGGACGGCTATCAACTGCCTCAACGAGTGTGGGCCCACTGACCAGGTACGCACACACTGCTGTGAGGGGCACGCACTACAGGTGCCTGACTCATCCTCGCTGCAGCGCATAGCGGGCAACTGTGCAGGCCCATCCTGCTGGAGTGTCTCCTGCGTGAACAGTGCCGGACGGCAATCAACTGCCTCAACGAGTGTGGGCCCACGGATCAGGTAAGCACTCAGATTTTGAAAGCCTTCTCCCACTGCATGCTCCAGAAGCACAATTGCCTCGCCATGTCAGCTAAATCCCTACTGTCCCCCCTTCTGTCCCTCCCCTTCCTTTCCCCCGTCAACAACCAAGTGTGCAGCTACTGCTGCATCGTCTTGTATGAGGCCACCAAGTTTGAAGCTGTTTCCTTCTGCGTGCTCCAGACGCACAGCTGCCTTGGCGTGACTGACTGTTCCTTCTGTCTCCCCTGCCCCCCAATTCTGCAACAACCAGGTGCGCAGCTACTGCTGCATCGTCTCATATGAAAACCCCCAAGCTTGAAGCACTTTCCCTCTGTGTGCCTCCCTGCTGCGTTCCCTCCTCCCCCTCCCCCCGGATTATCAACCAGGTGTGCAGCTACTGCTGCATCGTATCATAGGAAACCCCCAAGTTCGAGGCCTTCTCCCTCTGCATGCTCCAGAAGCACCAACTGCCTCGGCATGACAGCCGAAATCGCTTCTTGCCCTCCCTCTTTCCTGCCCTCTGCCCCCCCCCCCTTCCATCCCACGTCTGTCAACGCCAAGTGAGCAGCTTCAGCTGTGTTTTCCACATGAAACCCTCTCACTCCTTCCTTCTCCCCCCTCTCGCTCTCCCCCGCCTCTCACCACCAGGTGTGCAGCTACCGCTGCATTGTTTCCTACGAGTCCATTTTTAAGGTGCCTCAAAAATCGATCTCTCACCACCAGGTGTGCAGCTACCGCTGCATTGTTTCCTACGAGTCCCCCAAGTTCGAGGCCTTCTCCCTCTGCGTTCTCCAGAAGCACAATTTCCTCGCCATGACCGTCAGTTCTCTTCTCTTTCTCCCATACCTCCCCACCCCCCTCCCCCCTCCCCCCGGTTACCACCAGGTGTGCAGCTACCGCTGCATTGTCTCCTATGAGTCCCCCAAGTTCGAGGCCTTCTCCCTCTGCGTGCTCCAGAAGCACAACTGCCTCGGCATGACGGCCGAAATCCCTCCGTGATCTCCTTTTTTACCCCCTCTTCCCCCTTTGGTCACAACCAGGTGTGCAGCTACCGCTGCATCGTATCGTATGAGACCCCCAAGTTCGAGGCTTTCTCCCTCTGCGTGCTCCAGAAGCACAACTGCCTCGGCATGACGGCCGAAATCCGCCACCGCCCCACCGTGCTCCCCCTCACACACCTTCGCGGGCAGCCCGTCACGCACGAACGGGCAGAAAATATTTTCGTCGGGTGGCTTGGGCAGCTGCCCTGGAGCTGGCGGGTGGTGGCCGGGCAGAATGCCGCGTATGACCAGTTCCCATGCCAGTTCCAGATATTTTACCGCGGCAAGGCACGAGGCTCGGTGTGGTACGACCCTGTTTTCACGGTAAGCTTTCCATCCATGGCGCACGCCCACCCCCGCCCCTACCCCCACACCCAACCCCGCCCCCAACCCCACGCCCACTCCCAACGCCATCCCCACCGCCACCCCATTTCTCAACCTATTGGGACCTCTCACCATCCCTCTCTCTCCGCTCTCATGCCCCCCCAATTACACTGCACCCCAGCACTCTTCAAACACTACATGGCATTCAACTGAACCCCATCGTTCAGCGGACCTCTCCCCTCTCCCTCCCATTGTATATGCGCCACTCCCACATCCCATATACCCCCCCCCGCCCCACACACACACACTTTACCATCACCCACACAACCCTCTGTCGCAACCACCTTAGATAGCCGGTCAGTGTGGCTCTGATGCCACTAGTGCATGCAGCACATGCACTTCTCCCCTCCACACTCTCCCATGCTCTCCCCTCCATTCCTCCCACACTCCAACCATCCAGATCCGCACCCTCGACGGGCGGTCGCTGTGGCGCCGACGTCACTACCGCGTGCGGCGAGGGGAGGTTCCCGGAACCTTCACGTTCACAGTGCTTGACAACGGGGTGATTTCAGAGGAGTTTTGGCGCATAGTGGACGTAACCGACGACTTTGAATGGGCGTTATTTTACTACAGTGGTGCCGCCCGGGCAGCAGGGCAGTCCTACACCGGAGCTGTGCTTGTGTCCAAGACTGGGGAGTGGCCCGGACCTGAGCATGCGGTTCGGCTGAAGGCCGCTTTGGATCGGTGCGGGATCAAGGAGTGGGAACTTTATCGGGTTGATAACTCGTGCTGTGAGAATGCGCCCTTAGGATTGCCGGAAGATGCTCCAGCTCCTGTTTCAATAGCCTGAAACAGTCCAGGATGCAGGGAGTGAGGGCAGGTGCAATGTTATCAAACCTGTTACTGTAAGAAACGGTGCACATGTGTGTGCTGTTAGTTACTTCTCAAGCAGGATTTGCGTTGATTCTGCAGCTCCTCCTGTGAATCACACCCTTGTCCACGCTACATGCACACACAAGATTTTGCGCGGCTCATGCATGTATCCTCCACCCATGTTCAAGGGCAAAAGGGCTTGTATGCACACATGGGCACCACAAATCGGACCCTAAGCCCTGAACACCACGCCCATCAGGCCAGGGTAAATAGCTCCGTCTACAAAATTTGGGACTGTTTATTTGGGGATGAGAGCTGGATACATCCATCATTGGGTTTCTGTGCAGATTGTGTAACAAGGGCATCTGTTCGCAGGATTAGGTGCAATGCCCTGTGTGTTATTAGGAAGCACCAGCTTGGAGCCGTGGAAGTGTTGCACGGTCTAATCACTTCAATTCGCTCTCTACATCTCGTGAGCTACTTACATGCTTGTTTGAAACCAAGGGTACAGAACATATTTGTCTGTCATCCTTCTTGTGTTGTCACATGTATGATTGGCGAGTAAGAAATACATTTCTCTAAGGGTTTGCTGCATTCGCTCGCCTTCCTCGCCGGAGTGTGTTGGATGCATTTGTGTTTCTTGTAGGACGGTGGTTCCATGCACCTCTCTCCAAGCCAGAGTGAAATTCGTGGTGGTACGGTGGGCAGTGCATGGCTTTATTCAATGAACTATTCGTGATGGTTAGGTGTAAAGGAGTCGCGATGGAAGAAGCAGAGGGGAGGGCATGCTTGCTTGGCAGTGACACGTCGAATCATCCTTCATCTAGAGTGGCCTTCGAAAGTTCGGGCTTACGTACTGCTGGGCTGGACGAATGCATGGCTTGGAAGGGAGTCGGTACCGTTGAGGCGAGCTAAACTGTGTGAATGACCTTCGCCGAACATCTAAAGCAAGGGCTGTGCCGTCCAATGACGTGGAACGCTTAAAAAAATCAAGATGAGCGGTTGAAGAGAGGACCAGGGAGATTCCTCCGATCTCCCACGACACTGGTGGAGGGAAAGAGACTGACGGTGCTGTCAGAAAGGAGAAAGCGCAACATGTAAGCGTGACAATGAATGACACCTGCCACAAGACTGAACGTGGACGGCAATGGCGGTGAGTGAGGGAGTGTCAGTGAGCGAGCCTGACATGAATGCGTCGGTTGGAGGGGTAGAGCTAAGGGAGAAACAACTTGCTCCGCTCTGCTAAGGGATAAGCATGCTGTGCTCATCGTTGCCGACCAGGTGAAGTCCAGCAAATGCTGCACTGTTGTCGAACGATCTAGGCAGAAAGGCAAGGCAGGGAAGCGAGCACGAATGCAGACACGAAAGCGAAGTCGATTGGCGTGTTTTCCTGCTAAGGATGGACAGGATAGGTGTGTTTCTAAGAATGAGGTGTAAAGTGAATCAGAATGAGTGCATAGAAAGACCAGAATCTGGACGGAGTGTATGCTGTCGGTGCAACGTACAGTCAGGCAGTGGAGTGGAGGAAGGAAAGGAAGGAGCAGAACTGATGGCTTCCTCCGTCCATCAATCAAATGGAAGGGAAGGGAGTCTCTTCGAAGGGTAGAGGTAATTTTCTTCCCCCCTTTGCGTCAAAAGTTGGCCAGAAACGTTTTCGTATGTTCCTAGTCCTGCAGATGTACATTTCTACCAGATCATGCCCGAGCAGCACAGAGATGATCTGATTTGAGATGATTTGACGATGTTGCCTACGTGGAGGGCCAAGATTAGCGCTGGTCAAGGACTTGCTCGGGCAGGCATTGGATATGGAGCTAGGTGACTGGACGCTGGAAACGGGGGCAGAGTGCGAGACTTGAGGAGATATAAAGGCGTCAGTCAGAGCTTGTCTGAAGTCCGTCTACACAACGGGTGTCGAAGCACCGATCTGCAGTACACACGAAATACTACAGAACCTTTAGGAAACGCAGGCAACCGTATGGTAACCTTTGGCGGATGTCGACGATATCGTTGACATCCGCTCTGGACAAGCCCTTAGCTGTGCCGTGTAAGCAAAACACGGTGAGTGGGTGACGTCATGACCGTGGAGGCCCGAGTGAGGAAGACTTCCGACGAAAGCCGTTGACAGTGGGCTGGTGACGTCGCTTTCGCACACGAATTGGCGACGGTGACAGTTCTACGTCGCGTGAAAATTTGGGTTACGTACCTGATTGAGCGACAATGTACTGAACCTGACAAATAGGCGAGCCGCCATGACGTGTGGGAGACGCGCGGACCAATAACTGGCCACCTGAACCCAACTAGAGTTTGCTGGAAATGGTGTGGGTCGAACCCTCACCAACTTTCCAGACAGCTCGTCAAGCCCAAGAAGCTCCTGCGATTCGTCCAGCGACGTTATTGATCCACCACATGGCATCGCCATGTTCGTAACATGACACGCGACTCGTCTCGCGACCCTTCTAGGGCGGTTCTAGCCCTTCCGCCCGAGGCTTCCAGAGCTGGAAGAATTTCCCAGAAAGCCCGTCACACTTGCCCGTCATGTCCCAGTTCTCTTCCCCCAGCTGCGCCAGCTAGCAGCCCAGCTGGCAAAGCATCAGCTGCACAAGCCAGTCCCTAAACCCCACCCAAAACTTTCCGGGCAAGCCGACCCTTGCCGTGCCGACACGGCTGTACATTCAGGAGGGGAGGGGAGGGGACGGACGGAAAAGTTCCCCCACCCACCTTCCTGTCGCCTCACATCCCCCAGGGCCCCCCCCCCACCTCCTCAGCCCAGACCAGCCCACCCAACCTAGCCCACAAACCACGCCGACGATCCTTGACTGTGGTTGGCCAATGTCCAGCTGCCCTGGCAACATTCACTGCACCACACGGCATGCCCATGGCGGCTCGAAACCACCTCCCTTCCGCCAAGCCCCTGCTTTTCCCACGGGACGATGCCCGTTCTCCACTCTCCCTCACTCCGTCCGTCCCCCTGCACTCCGCTGACGTCGCATGCACTCCGCCCGCCCTTCCCTCTCTCCCACACGCATTTCCCCCGAGAGGCTTCTGAAGAGGCGGCGGATAGGGAAGACGAGGGGGGGATGAGGGGGAAGGAGGAGACGAGACGACCGCACCACACGCAACCTCACCGCCACCCCTTGCACCTCGTCCACGCATAAAAGCGTGAGCAAGACTCAAGTCGTTTCAACCAGAAAATTCAAACTTCGCATCAACTCGTAAACCCCTTTCAGCCAGACCAACTTCTGCTAAGACAAATCCCAGCCAGACCTCTTCAAGCAAGAATCCCGATTAGCTTCTCTAAACTTCAAATGGCTCAGCCGCTTCAGCAGTCCCAGTCTCTCAACATGAGCCGCAAGAGAAAATTAGACGTCGTCGAGCAGGAGCTCGCTTCAGCATCCGACTCGAACCCTCAGAAACTCCCCAGGAGCTCTCACCTCAGCTCCACAATGCCGACCGTGACCTCCATCCCCGTTTTTGACTTCCCCACCGGCTCCATAGCGGACCATTTCACAGTAGACTCGGAGCTTTTGGGTTCAGGGGAATTCGGGGTGGTTCGCCGCTGCATTGACAACGCGACGGGCGAGACGTTCGCGTGTAAGACGATCCAGAAGAGCCGACTCGTGGCCGAGTCGGACCGCGAGGAGGTTCGTCGCGAAGTCGCGGCAATGCAGCGAGTGATGGGCCACCCAGGCGTAGTTAATCTCCGCGCGGTCTTTGAGGACGAGAAGGAGGTGCACATAGTCATGGAGTACTGCGAGGGCGGGGAGCTATTCGACGAGGTGATCCGACGGGGAAAGATCCCCGAGAAGGAAGCTGCGCTGCTGTTTCGCCAGATCGTTTCCGCCGTCGCATTTTGCCATGCGCGCGGCGTGATGCACCGGGACTTGAAGCCCGAAAACATCCTCCTTAAGAAGCAGCTCGTTAACGGGAGACACGCGACGTTCGCGAAGCTCGCAGATTTCGGCCTGGCCATCGGCCTCGAGGAGGGGTCCAAGGCCTCCGGCGCCGCGGGCTCGCCGTTTTACATGGCACCTGACGTCCTCACCGGGGAATACGGCGTGGAAGCCGACGTGTGGTCACTAGGAGTAATCCTCTACGTGCTGCTCAGCGGTAACACGCCATTCTGGGGTCCTGACGACAACGCAGTCTTCGCGTCGGTGCTCGGGGGGAAAGTGGACATGTCCGGTCCCGCCTGGGCGGGAGTGTCGGCGGAGGCGAAGAGCCTGATTCGCTGCATGCTGCAGCGGGATCCGCGGAGACGGCCGTCCGCGGCGAAGGTGCTGTCGCACCCGTGGATTCTGGTGCATCTGTATGGGGGGAGAGTGGTGCGGAAGGTTGTGAGCGCTCAGCAGCTGCAGCACGGGCGGCAGGGGATTGCGCAAGCGGCGGGGGTTGCTGCTGCCGCGCCTGCTGCGCCAGGCGCATGAGCTGCGCCAGATGCCGCAGGATTATTGGAGCTTCAAGAACGATGCGTTCGCTTTGGGGGGCTTTGTGACGATGACCTTCAGGAGTGAGCTCGCGCTGAGCTCGATTAACGATTGAACGCAATAGAAGCCATGGGGAGTGCACGACGCCAGGTGGATGCCAACGCAAGCCTTGCTTTATGCTTCGCTTGGGGGGAACGCACTCTGTTCCTCCCGTGACCAGTTGACTTGCTCTGCGATGTCAGCTCGCAAGGAGGCTTGCCTTGGCATGTTGCCTCACACTCTCTGTCGTTCGTACATAATCTGTATATACCCCGTCCATAGAACAGTACTTTGACTGTTGTACATTAAATATCTAATCTGATTCTATGCATATGCTTGAACTTTGACCACGACAACTAGGAATTGAAGTATATGAAGTAACAGTTTCTCATAGCTCTGATCAGGAAACTGAAGTCTCACAACCAGTACATCCTTCATGACATCGTTTTTGGGATTCCAATCTGGAGGTGAACACTAGGATTAGTTGTCCTCACTCTCTCAGCCTTAGGATTAGTTGTCCTCACTCTCTCAGACTCATCTTCCATCTGCAGGTAGTATCTGTCAAATGTAACTTCTGTAGTTACTGTAGACTATACTGGATTGTGCCTTAGAGGGTACATACAACCCCTAGTCTATATATCCCTGTATCCTTCCATTATACTCAACTACTCATCTTGATATGGTATCATAGTAGGTTCGCCCCCCCCCTAGCCCGCCCACGCTTCCGCCCTAGGCCCTAGCCGCCGTCACGCTCGCCCCTAGCCGTCGCGCCCGTCCCTAGCTGCCGTCTCGTCCGTTCCCAGCCGCCGTCGCGGTTGTTTCTAGATGCTGTCGCGACCGTTCCTAGCCGTCGCGGCTGTCCCTGGTTCTCTCGCGGCCGTCCCTAGCCGCCGTCTCGCAGCCGTTCCTAGCCGTCGCGAACGTTCCTAGCCGCTGTCGTGGTCGTTCCTAGCCGTCTCGACTGTTCCTAGCCACCGTCGCGGCCGTTCCTAGCCGCCGTCGCGGTCTTTCCTAGCCGTCGCGGCCGTTCCTAGCCGTCGCGAACGCTCCTAGCCGCCGTCGCGGTCGTTCCTAGCCATTCTCGCGGCCGTTCCTAGCCGTCGCGGTCGTCCTTAGCCACCGTTGCGGCCGTTCCTAGCCGTCGCGGCCGTTCCTAGCAGCCGTCGCGATCGTCCTCCCCGGCCCCCTGCGGCGTTGCGTACATCCCTAGCCGGCCCCGTGTGCCGTCTCGCCCTCTCCTAGCCGGCTCCTCGTGCCGCCGTGCCCGCTCCTAGCCGCCCCCCCCTTCTTGCCCGCTCCTTACCGGCCCCTCGTGCCCGCCCCTCGTCGGCCCCGTGCCCGCCCCTTGCCGGCCCCGCGCGTCCGCCGTCCGCCGGCCGGCCCCTAGCGTCCGCCGTCGTCGCCGGCCCCTCGCGTCCGCCGTCCGCCGGCCGGCCCCTAGCGTCCGCCGTCGTCGCCGGCCCCGCATTCGCTTCGCCGCCGGCCCGCCGCTGACTCGTGCCCGGCCCGTTCTTCCCGACCAGCACCGCCCTACAACCCCCCTGGTACCGCACTGCACCGCTTTGCACCGCACTGTACCGCTCAGCACCGCTTTGCACCGCACTGCACCGCGCTACATTGCAGTGCACCGCGCTGTACCGCACTGCACCGCACGGCGCCGCACAGCACCGCACAGCACCGCTCTACACAGCCCTGCATCGTTCCTGATGGCGGAGGTGCTTCACTTTGATGCTGAGGGCCAGGCGATTGAGTTTGATGCGTGGCTGGCCAACCTCCGCCGCCACCTCACTGGTCAGCGGCAGGATGGCCACTCGCTATCTGTCCATCTTGACGGTACGCTCCCCTGTCCTGACCCCACTGCTGCGCTGCCCGCTGACCCCTCGTCTGCTGAGCGTGAGTCAGCTGCGGCCGCTGCCCTTGCTCGCTCCGTCTGGCTGTCGCGTGATGTTGTTGCACAGCTTGCTATCAGCCATGCCCTCCCCCTGTCTGAGCGCCCTCGCTTTAGGTCTGTCACCACTGTCCAGGCTTTCCTACATGCTGTTGTCCAGCGCTATTCCACCCCACCTGCTACCTCGGTAGGTCGTCTGATCCTCCCCATGCTCTTCCCTGACCTTGCGTCGTTTCCCAATGTCGCTGATTTGGCCGCCCACCGCGCACTATAGACGAGACCTGTCGCGCTGCCTGCACTGACACACAGCTTCGTGCTCACCAGCCGCCCCTCTGCTCTGCTCTCTACCTGCTGGCCACCCGCCTCCCTGACCGCCTTGCCACTGCCCGCTACCGCTTCCTTAGTGTCCACCCCGGAGAACTCACCCTCACTGACTTTGTTGACACCTTGTCCGCCATAGAGGCCCGCCACCGCTCTATTACCCAGACCAGCGGTACTGTACCGGTCCCTATCTTTCAGGGTTGTGCCCCCGCTCAGTGCATCTTCTCCGACGGTACTGCTGCTGTGGCAAAGACAGCCGCTGCAGCACAGGTCCGTTCGGGGAAGGGTCGCCGCCCCAAGGCTGGGCGCGGCGGAGGGGGTGGGGGTTCCGGTGTAGGTGGTGGTGGAGTTGGGTTCCCTGGTGGTGGCACGGACGAGGGGACCCTGACAGGTGCAGCCGAGCAGCCGTCTCAGCAGCCGCAGGTGTTGCAGCCGGACACGCGCTAGTCGCTGCAGCAGTCCTCGCACCAGCCGCACCCGCCGCAGCAGCCGAGGCGGGCGAGTGGTCTTCCGCCCGGGTGGCCTGGCGCTGGTGGTGGTGCTGGACGTGGTGGTCGTGCGCGTGGTGGGCTGCCAAGTGGTGGTTCGGGTGACGCGCGCTGTCAGTACAGGCTCCAGACCGGTCCTCGCCGTGGCTTCGTTTGAGGTAAGATCGGTCACACCTCCGTCCACTGTTTCCGTCGCCTGGACGACCTGTTTCGTCATCGCTTCGGCTCGTCGCCCGAGCTCCCAGACTAGCACAGCTTGCTTCGTCGTAGCTAGAGGTTTCAGTCAGCGTGAGGGGGTGGACTTTTTCCAGACCTTTGCCCCGGCCCCGAAGATGACTACTCTTCGGGTGCTACTACACGTAGCAGCTCAGGGTGACTACGAGCTTCACTCCCTCGACTTCTCCACTGCGTTTCTTCAGGGCAGTCTACACGAGCAGGTCTACCTGTGCCTCCCCCAGGGTTTCACTGGTACCTTCCCTCTTGGGACCCAGTGGCTCCTGTGGCGCCCTGTCTACGGCCTGCGACAGGCTCCTCGTTAGTGGCACGACACGCTGCGTGCTACCCTTGCTAACATGCAGTTCTTCCCGTCCTCTGCAGACCCCTCGCTCTTTGTTCGTGAAGGCCAGACTCCGTTCTACATCCTTGTTTACATGGACGACCAGGTCTTTGCCACTGCAGACAGGGACGCACTGGCCTCCGTGAAGGCAGAGCTGCTGAAGAGACACACTTGCACTAACCTTGGAGAACTGCGCCATTACCTTGGCTTGCAGATCTCTAGGGATAGAGCAGCGTGCACCATCACCCTCACTCAGTCACACTTGGTGCACCAGGTCCTTCAGAGGTTTGGTCTTCAGTTCTCCTCTGCACAGCCCACCCCTCTGTCTGTAGACCACAGGCTCTCTGCTCCAGTTCCTGAGGAGTTGGTAGAGCCCAGTGGCCCTTACGCCGAGCTGGTGGGTTGCCTCATGTACAGGCAGATGACTTGCCTGGGTACCTTAGAACCCTATGCCTGATGACTTGCACTCGCCCATATCTCGCATACCCTCTCAGCATCCTGGCTTGCTTTGTGGCCACATGCAGACACCGACCTCAGCACTGGTCTGCCGCTAAGAGGGTTTTGCGTTATCTTGCAAGTACATCGGGCATGGGGTTAGTGCTTGGAGGGCGTAGGCCAGTGGTCCTTACTGGGCACACAGACGCTTCGCGGGCAGACGACGCTGAGACTCTTAGGTCCTCACAAAGCTACTACTTTAGCCTTGGTTCAGGTGCTGTCTCATGGAGAGCTACTCGCTCCTCGTCGGTTGCCCAGTCCAGCTGTGAGGCCAAGATCTACGCCGGTGCCATGGCGGCACAGGAGCTCCGCTAGCTGACCTTCTTGCTCACTGACTTAGGTGAGCGGCCTAGCTCTGCCCCGGTCCTGTACGCTGACAGCAGGGCCACGATCCTCCTGTGTTAGGAGCTGCGACTCGAGGGCAGAGCAAAGCACATGCAGCTGCGGTACTTCCTCCTGCGTGAGCTGCAGCAGCGTCGCCAGGCCCGCGTAGTACACTTGGCCTCCGGTGCCAACACATCTGATATCTTTACGAAGGCGCTTGCGCTTAAAGATCATCAGCGGCACTGTGTACAGCTTGGTCTTGTTCCTGTAGCTTCTCGCTTGCTAGGGCCTTGATTGTGTACAAACCTTTTCTATATATACTTCCCTGACTGGCCTTGTGGCCTCTCCCAATGGGTGGACTAGTAGTGCCGCCCTGGTCTTGCTCTTGCCTTGCTTGTTTTTGTTTGACTGGTATTTAGACCCTTGCCTCAGAGGCTGGACTAGTAGTGCCGCCCTGAGCTGCTTCTTCTCCTGTTAGGCACTGCCCTAATATAGTCTAGGGGGTGTGTCAAATGTAACTTATGTAGTTACTGTAGACTATACTGGATTGTGCCTTAGAGGGTACAACCCCTAGTCTTTATATCCCTATATCCTTCTATTATACTCAACTACTCATCTTGATAGTATCGATGCCCGATATAGACACGAGCCAAGGATGTACTTCTATCGATGTTAAATTATATATATAGATAATTGGTAGGCTTGATAGGTGTTAATGAAACCTACTGTAGAGGTAAACCCCCTCCCTCCTTGTATCCCTCTCTCTTCTATTCTCGACCTCTTTTCTCTCATCAACCTATCTCCTAGCTAAACCCTCACGCCATTCCATGGCCACCAACCAGGGCCTCAGATTCCAGGCTTTTTCCCCTGATTCAGGGTAAAATTTGGGCTTTTTTGGGGGGTGACCCTGATGAGACAGGATTTTTTTAAGACACAAGCCTGAAATTTCAGCATTTTTTTAGGAGTGAACTTTGATCGATCAGCGTTATTAGTGTAGTGAGCCCTGTTTGTCCAGATTCGTGTAATCGCAGATTCGCAGCCCCCTCCCCTCCACCCGTGAATTCCGTGAGTTTCCCCAGCCGCCCCTTGTCAACCCCGCGACTTGAATGCGACCGTCCATTTTTGTTTCCGACGTGGTCGTACTTTCAGAGCCCAATCCTAGCCTTGGTCCCTCTGCGCATGCTGCCATTGAGAACCCTGCTACCGCAGAATACTATATTACACATCGTGCTTTCTGTGTGAAATCATGTTT